CTGCTGAACAGCTTTATTTGACTCGGGTATCTCTGTTCTTTGATCAATGTATTTAAATTTACTTGTAGGTTTGCCATTGTTGCATTTTCTATATGTTTAGGGTATTGTCTTTCATGGAGCCCTTCATTGCATGTAGCTTTGTTTTGTGATGTTTCTGCAGTCTGATATTTCCTTTCCGCTCATTGGAAAACTAAACTATTCTGTTGTGTGTTGTCTTGTCTTGTGTTGTGTTGCATTCATTTTTATTTTGAAGCAGTATCTATTCAAGCGAAAAGAATGTGGTGCTTTTCAATAAGTATGTTGCGTAGGAAACCTTTATCTCAAAACTGTATTCTGAGTACTCAAAATGTTTTTTTTCGGGGGCTTTATGACTGGATATAGTTATTTTGTTTTTATTCACCTTCTATAGCGGTTTATTTAACGTTTACCATTGCCATGTGCAGCCGCACACTCAGCAATATGGCTAGGCTCTTGGCTCATTCTACTGTCTCCTCTTTATTCGCTTCCCGGTGGAATGTTCAGTCACAAGGAAGTGGAAAACCGAGAAGGTATGTAAAGATGATGTATAATCTAGAAGCTCCTGGGTTGAGGATACAGAGCTTCTCGGGTTTGAGGAGTTCCAATTCGTTAGACTTTATAGCGAGGTCTGGACATGATTTCCATTCTAAGGTCAGACTTCAAACATCATCACGTAAAGGGAAGGCTTGCCGATTTGTACCAAAAGCTATGTTTGAGCGCTTTACTGAGAAAGCAATCAAGGTCATAATGCTGGCTCAAGAGGAAGCTCAGAGACTTGGCCATAACTTTGTCGGGACTGAGCAAATACTGTTGGGTCTAATTGGTGAAGGCACTGGCATTGCTGCTAAGGTTCTCAAATCGTTGGGAATCAATCTAAAATATGCCCGTGTGGAAGTTGAAAAGATAATTGGGAGGGGCAGTGGATTTGTGGCTGTGGAGATCCCATTTACCCCTCGCGCAAAGCATGTGCTGGAATTGTCACTGGAGGAAGCCCGTCAGCTCGGTGAGTTTCTGCTTTTTCATATTACTCAATCCCTATGCTTGGAGCTTGTTAAACTGTAATGTATATGTACGAAATTTCAGCTTCACAGGGTATGTTTACATGCTATTCTTGACTGTTGTAACACACCATTCTTATTAATGGGGAACTGTTTCTGATGTGATATGGTTTTAGGGCATAACTATATTGGGTCGGAGCATCTTCTGCTCGGTCTTCTTTGCGAGGGAGAAGGTGTAGCTGCACGTGTCCTAGAGAATTTGGGCGCAGACCCCGGTAACATCCGGACGCAGGTAAAAAGCTGAATTCTTTATGGTCCGTTTAGAACTATTCGAATCAATATTCTATGATCAACAGCTAAAGAAAAGTGGAAATGAAATTTTGAGTGAAGTAGGTTATACGTATGGTCGGAGAGAACAATGAAGTAACTGCCAGTGTTGGTGGAGGAACCAGCAACAACAAGATGCCAACTCTAGAAGAGTACGGAACTAACTTAACAAAATTAGCAGAGGAGGTAATGATTGGATATCCTGGTTGATAAAATATCATGTCGAAGGTTTATGTTAAAGTCTTTTTTTTGGCCGGGTGCAGGGTAAATTGGATCCTGTTGTTGGAAGGCAGCGGCAGATCGAACGTGTGGTCCAAATCTTGGCCCGGAGAACCAAGAACAACCCTTGTCTTATTGGAGAACCAGGTGTTGGGAAAACAGCAATTGCTGAAGGACTGGCTCAACGAATTGCCAGTGGCGATGTTCCTGAAACAATCGAAGGGAAGAAGGTAAAAGTCTTGGGCCTAGATGCATAGGCTCTTGGTAATACAATATTAATGGAAAATGAAAGGTGTGCTTGTTTTAACATATTTTCAGGTCATAACCCTCGATATGGGTCTTCTGGTGGCCGGGACAAAGTACCGTGGGGAATTTGAGGAAAGATTGAAAAAGCTCATGGAGGAAATAAGGCAGAGTGATGACATAATTCTATTTATTGATGAGGTACATACGTTGATCGGTGCAGGAGCAGCAGAAGGAGCCATTGATGCTGCTAATATCTTAAAGCCAGCTCTAGCAAGAGGTGAATTACAGGTGGGTTTTTACACATCTTTTGTTGGGTTGGTGTCAAATTCTGGATCAATGACCTTGAATTCAAATGGTAGAGATGGGTTTTTGTGTGTTTGTGTAGTGCATTGGTGCAACAACCTTGGATGAATACCGAAAGCACATCGAGAAAGACCCTGCCTTGGAAAGACGGTTTCAGCCCGTGAAAGTACCCGAACCAACTGTAGATGAAACTATCCAGATCTTGCATGGTCTCCGGGAACGGTATGAGATCCACCACAAGCTCCGCTACACTGATGACGCCTTACTCGTGGCCGCTCAATTGTCTCATCAGTACATCAGGTACCGAAATGTTACATTTGACTTTGTCTGGATAAGTTAGTGGTCTACTTTGGTTGGGTTTCAACTTGAAATGATTTCCTTTATTCTCAGTGATCGGTTTCTTCCCGACAAAGCAATTGATTTGATCGATGAAGCTGGGTCTCGGGTTCGGCTAAGACATGCTCAGGTGCAAAATGCTTAATTGTGTCGAGTATTTTTCACTGATCAACCTGTATATCTATCTATTCAAGCTTTGCTTTGAACAGAAATTTCTCTTGTTAGGTCCCCGAGGAAGCTAGAGAGCTTGAAAAAGAACTCAGGCAGATCACGAAGGAGAAGAACGAAGCTGTTCGAGGCCAGGACTTCGAAAAGGTACAGTCTTTTCATTGTTTTAACAGTCTAAATATGTACAATTTTTTTACAGTTTACAAAGTTTTCATCGACAGGCTGGTTCTCTGCGTGACCGGGAAATCGAGCTCAGGGCTGAGATATCCGCTGTTCTCGCCAAAGGCAAGGAGATGAGCAAAGCCGAGAGTGAGGCAGGAGATGGAGGTCCTGTTGTCACAGAGTCCGACATTCAACACATTGTTGCTTCGTGGACGGGAATCCCCGTCGATAAAGTCTCGTCAGATGAGTCTGACCGTCTGCTTCGGATGGAGCAGACCCTTCACACACGGGTCATTGGTCAAGACGAAGCCGTCAAAGCCATTAGCCGTGCCATCCGCCGTGCCCGTGTTGGACTCAAGAACCCGAACCGCCCCATTGCTAGTTTCATCTTCTCTGGTCCGACGGGTGTGGGGAAGTCGGAGCTTGCCAAGTCCTTGGCCGCTTACTACTTCGGTTCTGAGGAAGCTATGATCCGTCTCGACATGAGCGAGTTCATGGAACGACACACAGTCTCGAAACTTATCGGGTCACCGCCAGGTTACGTCGGGTACACGGAGGGAGGTCAGTTGACGGAGGCCGTCAGGCGCAAGCCTTACACTCTCGTTCTCTTTGACGAAATTGAGAAGGCGCATCCCGATGTCTTCAACATGATGCTCCAGATCCTCGAGGACGGGAGACTAACCGACAGCAAAGGAAGAACTGTGGATTTCAAGAACACGCTTCTGATAATGACGTCAAATGTCGGAAGCAGCGTGATCGAGAAAGGCGGACGGAGAATTGGGTTCGATCTAGACTCGGACGAAAAGGACAGCAGCTACAACAGAATCAAGAGCTTAGTGACGGAAGAGCTGAAACAGTACTTCAGACCAGAGTTCTTGAACAGGTTGGACGAGATGATCGTGTTCAGACAGCTGACGAAGCTGGAAGTGAAAGAGATCGCCGATATAATGCTGAGAGAAGTGGTGGTGAGGCTGAAGGAGAAAGAGATGGAGCTTCAGGTGACGGAGAGGTTCAGAGAGAGAGTGGTGGAGGAAGGTTACAACCCGAGCTATGGAGCTCGGCCGCTGAGACGAGCCATCATGAGGCTGTTGGAGGACAGTATGGCCGAGAAGATGCTCGCCAGAGAGATTAAGGAAGGAGATTCCGTCATTGTTGATGTTGACTCTGACGGAAATGTGATCGTTCTCAACGGAAACAATGGCAGAGCCGGCGCCATTCCTGAAACTGCCGTGGAAGATCCGATTCCGGTGAGTTGAGCCTCTTTCGTGGTTTTCTCTACTTTCCTTCTTTGGTTTCTGGACATCGATTCATCTGTTCTCTTGGAAGATGATTTAGCGATTTTCACCGGTTTAATTTTGCCGGTTGACCTTCAATGCTGTCATTAGATGGGGGTTAATTTCATCAATAGTGGAATAATTGAACCGATTTGAATGGAATAACACCGATTTGGAAATAAAAACTGAATGATTATATTTATAAATAAAAACCGAATTCAAATTTGAGCCAAAATACAATAGAGTTGAACCAGATTCAATATACAAAAGTGGAATGATCGGTTATCCGGCCTGTAAAGAACTAAACCGGACTTTCCATACCGGAGTGAGAGTGAAAAGACTTGGGACTAACACTAGAGCCTCTACTGCTATTAAGCTTAAGAGCATCCAAAGCCTTCTGAATCTCCATGTTCATTGCACTGTCTACGCTCCCCGATGACAGTTTCTTGTGCGATTTCTGGAGATGAAGCTTCAACGAACTGCTGCTCAGACCGGCGTTTTTCCCGCAAACTGGACACACTTTCATCGTCGGCTTCCTCCTCCTCCACTCCATCGACACTTTCCCAAAACGTTTCTTCTCCAGGTTAAGTAAGATTCGGGCGAATCCGTCGTTTGGTTGGGCTCGTCGGTGAACCTTCTTTAGTGTCTCCCATGCTTCTAACAAGGTGAGGTTCCTGAAAAATCCGAAGAATGAGCTTTTTCAGAAGATTGTGTATCGATTTCCAATTCATGCAAGAAAGGAAAAAAAAAACTTACTTTCGGAGCATTAGGTAAGCCAGCACTACGGTAGAGCTTCTACTTCTACCCTCGAAGCAATGGACTAGAACCTTGCCGCCTGTTTGCTCACCATGATCGATAAAGTCGAGAGCTTCTTCGAAGATGCTCTCAATGTTTGCATCTTCATCATCGGTTATCTGGTCAAAGATTAAGAACCCAAGTTGAAAGTTTCAATGTATCAAATGGGTTGAAGGAAAACATTCAGAAACATGAATCTATAGTTGGAAAATGATGAATTAAATGAGAAGAACAAGAGATATATACTTACTGAGAAGTTTATGTACTCGAAGAGACCTGGGTATTGAGTGTCTGATTGCCCGATTTCATTCGCGCACAAACATAGAATATGAGTTATGCCTAAATGCTGCAGAGTGTAAACCGACCTTGCAGCCAATCCTCCTCCGATAAACAGATTATTCATTACCATCGACGGTTTCTCGGTATTAGCAGCTTTGCAAATCAGTGATACTCTTTCCAGAATGTGCTCAAGCCTAACCTGTTTTATGAAGGGGCAAAAACACCAAAAGGAAAATGCAAAGCAAAGTGAGTATGGACTACTGTATTCAGTTCAGTACCAGGGATTAGGAGAAAGTAGATACATATGCATACATATTTATATATGTATATATGGAAAAAAGTACCTTTAGCTCGTAAGCGTCGGTGCAAATGTTATTATCACTGCCCTCGAAGAACCCGGTGTTGAAATTGTTTTCTTGGCAGAGTTTCAGGACATTGTGTTGCAGCGTTTCATTCCATTGTTCAATTTCTTTACTAGATTCAGCATCAACCTGAAAACACCACAGAAAGAATCAAATCCAAGGAATATCATTGTTTTAAGCCTTGTAGATGAATAGTCCCTGAAAACACATTATTTGCACAGGAAGATCAAAATTTTGAATCTCTATCCGCTCCAAGGTTTTAGGCATAGGAAGAATCCTATCAGATCGAAATTCTGTAATTACTCAGGAAACAGTAAAAAGATTCAGATTTTAACTTCAGAACTAGAATGACAAACCTTGGCAAACTTATGAAAATCGCGAAGCTTTGCTGCCAAACGCTGACTACTAAGAGATTCTCCACCTCTATTTGATTTTCCATGCCAACTTTCTCTTGACTTAGGTGATGTTGCATCCGAGCTTTCTCTGTTTTCTGAAAACGGCGTCCTTAAAGCAGTTTTCTGCATTTCTGACTCACTGTAATCGGAGTTGTTATCAGTCGGTATCCGCTCTTTGTTTGAGGGAGATGGATAACAACTCGGATCGAGGGCAGGAGCTTGGGAAGGTGATTCAGGAATAGCAAATTCCTCTCTATCGAAATCTGGGCACATTGTTTTGTCCATCATAGTGAAAAATGCCCGTAGCAAACCATCTAACTTCTGATGAAGGGTCACGAGGAAAATGTGAAACCCTTGCAGGTCCCTGAGCCCAGCTCGGAAACCATTGCGAAATTCACGAATCACTAACGTTACTTCACTGGATCGAATACCAGTTTGCTCACCATCTTCTTCTACACGAGGAGTCCCTAATTTTCCTTCTGTTATCTCATGTAACAGATTTGAGGCGTATTCGCTACTGTTGATGAGCAGTTCAACCAACTTCGGATAAATTTCTCGATCACTTGCCCGTTTTCCAGCAGGAGGTCGGCGTGGAACGCCTGAATCTATGGCCACGATGTGAAAATCAGCAACAACCGATCTATCGGACAATGGACTCATCAAACCCGTGTCACAAGATTTAGGCGATTCCGTCACATCAGAAAGGTCAGAAGCCTGTGAGACCAACCTTTGATCAGAGGGACCAAATCTACTATCCACTGAAGTGGCCCTTCTTTCCTTTTGAATGGCTCTATACACCCTAGGATGGTGTCTTTTGATTGCGGAATCAAAGGCTTCCTCATATGAGCATTCCAATTTTTTAGCCGGTGAAGGAACTTTGTCAGCTAATAATAGATTTGCTGGGTTGCCTCGCCATCGGAGCTGACGAGAAGGTAGTCTGTCTTCATTCCTAATTACAAGATCTAGCACCAAGATTCTCCCAAGTGCAGCAGCAACTTTCTCTGCTTTCTCTTCTGATTCAAAGATATTCGTGCTTTCAAGCAATGGACATCCATGGACATAACTGCGATCACGAAATGAAAATGCTTAGAAGAGGATTCATCACAATCATCGCCACATACTAGTGTTTCTTACATCCCTCTTACGAGTTGAGACAGATAAGGAAAACACCTAAACACTAGAACAATACATGGAATAACTATCTAAAGATGACACCATATCGAAGTAAAAAATGAAAAATAGGAAAAAACAGTAAACCCGAGTTTCCCGTTTGCACCTCATTAGGAAAAGACACCGGCTTAGTTCAAGGGCCTCTAGAAGTTCTGAACAAGTCATCTCACCAACCTCATCTCCTTCTGAATTCGCTTTAACTTGTGCTTTCTCAGTCGCTTCTTTTATAAGGGTCCATTCAGGATTAGAGTTATGAATTACTCGAGCCTGTCCCAGTATCGTTAATCATTAAGAAAAAGACGTAAAAAAAACAAAAGAGCCTAAAATGATTGACCAATTACGAACACGGAATCCATGAAAGAGAAGAAATATACCTGAGGAGTCTGTACCCCCAACCACTTGGCAAACTCATAGCCTAGACGTTCCGATTGTGTGGCCATCCTTGAAGAAGAAAATTTTATTACTGCCGCCGCTTCCTTTGGAGAAGCATCATCAGAATTGGCATGATTAAATAGTGCAAAGAAAACAACTCCCCCAGAATTCACAGTAACCTGATTCATGAGACCAGACAAAAGATAAGAAAGAAAAAGAACATAGACAGGAAAATCGTATACATACAACGCAAAGAACTCTAAAGAGGTAATGTCAAGATATCCTCATGCAACTTGGGAGAGAGAAGGAGAGTTAGGCTGATGCAATTTTCTTCAATCCAACACGCTTAGCTAGATCTACACAATATACCTCAAGGGCTTTAATCTGGTCTTCTTCGGATGGATCACTGTTACTACTATGCTCGGTATGGTGAAGTGAAGATAACATGTTCCATGAAAACAAACTCGATTCAATATCCAGCATAGAAGCTTTGCCAAGCCTTTCCCACAAGCTTATTTCAGAAGACTGCTTGATGGGTGAACATTTTGGATCAACAATCAGCTCTCCTGCACTGGATAAGAATTTTGTCAACCATCACTATATATCATTACCATGCTTTCAACAACATAGATCACCCGAACCATTTCATGATGAAACCCACAAAGGAAGACAAGATATTGCATAAACTATAAAGGCCACACAAACATACGCACAGGCGTCTGCAGCACACTTGTGTCCTAATTTAGAAACTTATCTGATTCTGGAGCTATTGAAACATCTTTCGAGGCTTTCCATGTCACAAGTATTTTGAAAACGAGGGAGTGCAGTTTAAGATCACACCCCATTCCATTTCATAAGAGAGCAGAAACGCAATCCTTACAACTAGTATTCAATTTATGACAAATTCATCACATAAATCTAAGCTTTTAGAGTAAAAACTTCATACAGATACAACGGCAATATCAGTACCCTGTCACTTGCTAGTACTTTAAGATGAAAAACCAAATGTAAATCACAAACATGTACACCAATCCATAAACAAATGGAAAGCCCAGAAGCAGAAGTTAATGTGGATTCAGATGGGTCCAAACCTAGAAACCATGTCATCAATCCGGTGAGGTCGATGAGGGAAACCAGAAGATCCGTATCGAGCACTCCGTTTACGAACCAAATCCAACCATTGGGTGAACCGATACGCCGGACCAGCCGCAATATCTCCTAACATGTACAGAACCTACCGTTTCCAAAAAAACAAAAGGGAACGAAAAATTTCCCTCAACCCCATCAGATTTTCGTCGCATCCAAATAGAAATCTAAGAATCGAAGATGGGAGGTACTTACGCGGGAAGTGACGGTGAGAGGAAGAGGAGCCTCGGGCTCGTCGGGTCCGATATCGAGATCCTTCTCGTAGTCTTTGTCCTGCGATTCCACCATAGCACCACGGCGTTCAGATCCAGAAGAAAGTCCAAAAAAATCCAATGCAACAGAGATAAATCTAGGGGAATGTGGGTGCAATGATGGGTGTTCGTGGTGGTGGGGGTGATGATGACAGATTATATAATTCGGGGCCTGAAACTGAGAAAAAAAAAGGAAAATGAAAAAAAAAGAAGCAAGTCTACCTGACAAAAACTCTGATCTCGCATTCCCTCCCGTGATCCCGCCATTAGAAAAGCTTGCAAGGAAGGTTTTTTTTTTTTTTTTTTTTTTGGGTGTGTGTGGAGGAATGAATTTTTCTTTGAAGGTCAAGCTGGCCCTTTGCTTTGAGACTCCAAAGAGAAAGAAGGCGGGTGGTATCTCTTACGTTTAACCGTAGTACCTATGAAAAAGCTAATAGTGGTAACTAGTAATTTTTAAAAAACAGTTCCTATTTTTTTTTAAATAAAAATATTAAAAATTCCTCTGTTATATTTCCGACAACCTCGGAATCTTCCTCTGCGGTTTCGATCTCTTCTCGACGATCGCAGGTTCGTTGAAATCGAACTTCGAACAACCTTTCTCTTGTTTTTTCCCAAGTAGATCGGTTCTCCGGGGGAGGAGGACAAATGGTGAATGGATCTAGAAAAAAAAATGTTCCAGAATTCTGGAAAATTTTCAGTTTCTTGTTTGGTTTCCGGGAAAATTTTCAGTCGCTTGTTTCGGTTTATCTGACGATCATATAGATGAAGAGAAAGAGGAGAATGAACACTCTGATACTACTAAGTGTTGATATCTATACACACTCAAGGCTGCAAAAAGAAAGATCTTTCCTTAACATTCACACACATGTTTTTTCGTAATGCTCCAAAATGTTCATGTTTCCACAAATCCCGTTTTTTTAAAAAATAAATAAAGAGGGATATACAAAAATGAAAAACTTTATAAAAAGGAGGGGGAAGATATTCCCATTTCAACCCAAGAACAAGGGCAGCAAAGAGAAGGAGAACCTTAGTTGTACAGCAGACTATGAATCCTGGCCGCCTTCGTCAGGGTCGGGGTTCGAGGGAGAAGAGGCGGCCGGAGAAGGTTGATCGATCTCTCTCCGAGACGCTTCCCATAGCTGTTGCTCTATCCCGAGTTTCCTTACCTCTACCAATCCTCTTTCCACTGAATATAACACGGTATTCATCTTTTTTTGTTTGTTCATATGAAAAAAAAATGGAGCTGAGACAGGGTTAAGGAGAGAGAGAGAGAGAGCTGTACCATCAACAGCATCGTGGGAAGTCGGTGACTGACCACTACGGCTGATCCAGAACTGGAGGCGTTCTTCTGCTATGTCTTCTTCCACGTTATGCAACTTGGCTCTACCCCAAAAGTACATTAGCCATGCCTGCATTTTTTTTATTTACCCGAAACATGACCTAATTAGATCCTTCAGGTTTTTTTGTCTCTCTTCGTTTTAACAACATTCAGTGTACTAGCCATTGTGTATGCGTATGAACAGACACACATAGATAGATATATATATGTTTACGGCCACATTTTACCATTTTTTCATCTACAGATTACAGTTTCTATAAGATGGCTACCGGATGTATGTATGCTTATCGTGCCTCTAGTTACACGCAGCTTATCGTGCCACGAAAAGAGCATTACCGTCCTAACAATTTATTGATGTACCAAAATACATACAGTTATCAGAGGACCAAACATATAGCAAAATCCTAACAAGTCCCGTATCTCGTAACTGAGGTAAACAAATGATTTTTCTATTGGGCAGATACTATCATGCTTTCAGATGAATGTGCACATATTGGTGTTAGTGAGTCAGCAAGATGTGAACATGCAGCTTTCAGAAGAAGTCTTAGGATTTTGCCCGAAATAGTGTTGTATCATCACATCACTACGAACACAGTGCTCTATGCGTAAATATAAGTACCTGCTTAAAGGCGACATCTTCGGCTTCCTCATCACTTAGTGCTGCATTAAACCAAAGTAACAAACACCATCAAAACTTCATGAGTGTCATATAACATGGTTGACAAGGTCAAAAGCATATTATTTCATTCTTTGTTTATTCATTTTTAAGAGATAAACCCAAACAAATCAGAATCTCTACAAGAAGACTCTATGCCGTACCGTATGCCTCTACAAATTTGGGATCTCCATGGCCCTTGGGATCTGTAAGATCATGGAAAAGAGAACGTTAACTTCTCTCTTTTAACTACTAAGCAAAGCCCTTCCTTACTATGAGAAAAAGAAAGCATGAAATATTTTTCCGACATATATCACTTAGCTGTTGTTCTTAAAATGAGGGGTTGTAAAGGACCAACCCAGTTCGTATCCCCATCCAGTGGGGGTGCTGGGAAAGGGAATATACTAGACCACCTTACCCCTACATTTTAATGTAGAGAGGTGGATTCAAACCCGTGACCTCAGACCCCACATTTTAATGTAGAGAGGTGGATTCAAACCCGCGACCTCAGACCCCACAGTAAATGGTTTTACCGATGAGCCAAGTCGGCCCTTCCTTACTATGAGAAAAAGAAAGCATGAAATATTTTTCAGACATATATCACTTAGCTGTTGTTCTTAAAATGTGGGTTGTAATTACTAAAATTTAGACATTCTAAGAACAAAACCCTGGGAAAAGTTGGGTATAATACAGAGAGTTTATATTTGTCCTTATCATTGTAGCAGATGATAAGGCCTTCACATATATACGCACCAGAGACAGTTTGACGAACCGAACTTGGTCTTCTCCGCTGGGCAAATGCTAGCACAACTGCATCCTCAACCTGAGTTCAAAGTAACATAAATTCTTAGAAAATGTAGACTATGTCTTTTGCGGAGAATTTGTAGAGAGCTTATGGGAAACCTTACGATTAACGCTAAACCCCACAAAGGAAAAGATATTTTAATGCTTAAAAACACAAGTGCGGAAACAGGAGTAAACACCTTTAGTGACGCTAGTTCTCTCAAACCCATCTCAACTGAAAGCATACTTTCAATATTTCCTTCACCAGTTAGATCACTTAAATCTCTTGCGGCTTTACTTTGATCATTTCCACCTGTTCAATTTTATACAGTGATAAATAAATATGTGAACAGCAAAATGCAAGGGAAAGGCATAACAGTTCAGAGATACAGCAGACTAACCTTTATCCCCAGACAACTCCTTGGCCTTTTGTGCTGCAGATATGACTAGTTCAAATGGAAGAGGAGCCAAAGCTGACCAGTGTTCATGCCTAGATGGGGCTATATCGGCACAGATGCCTACAGAGGGCCATGGGAAAAGCAAATATCTGAGAATTTTGATGCATAAAGACTCTCTACAAGCATGTCATTTGATGGTGCTATTAAAAGACAGAGAGTATGTATAACACGAAAATCCGTTGCCAAGTTCAAAAGCCTAAAATCTCTGAAAGACACACTATGTCTAATAATCAATTTTTACTGGAAGAATTACTTACCATGCTGCACAGCCAACCCCCAATACCGAGCAAGCCAACATCTCTTCAGAACTACCTCCTCCTAAAGGCAGATATGGCACACAATCAGAACTTCAAGAACAGTTAACAGATAATGAGATTTGACTTCCATTGACTAACCATTTCTTCCTGAGTTAAAATCATTCTTTGAGTCATTGTACGAAGAGACTTCGCTTCAGACTCTGCTTCTGTGAGCTGTTCCAGTGATGCCGCAGCCTCATCTTTCAAGTTCTGATCTCCAAGGAAACCATGACAACATAATTTCATCATGTAGATCAGAACAACACATCTTACTGATATGGGCATTATCGATATAACTTACCTGAAGTTCTGAACGAAGAGAAGTAACTTCTTCATCTTTCCCATCTTTTTTCTGTTGAGCAGCCCGCAGAGCAGCCTGTAACAAGTAGCAATTTCCAATTTAATGTGAAATTGCATGGCTCATAGAAACATTTATCCGAGACTAAATGTGGCATTTTGTTACAGAGTGTACTAACCTCTCTTTGACGTAATGCTGCTTCCTTTCTGAAGAAAGAAGTATTTCAGAATAAACGACCATATGAAAACAGTATCTTTAAAAAAAAGGATAAAGAAAATGAGAAGGAGCAGAAGTAATCCTACCTACTTAACAATTTAGCCTCCAGAGATACTCCTTCTCCAAGAGAAGCAACCTTTTGAAAAGAAAAGAAAATTACTTGAAGCCTTACAAAGATGGAAATACCTACTGGTCGTTCCAATATATAATTTTTCAATGAATATACTAAGAGATCATAAAATCAACCTATACTATCCTTCCATCTGCATATATGTTTGGTAAATTAAATAGAGGCTGCATCTCCTGAGTTTGCCATGAATTGGCACAATGATAACTATTCAAGAAATTCCCTCATTATGCACTAAGATGCTGATTAAAGCTACGAGAGAGGAGCCTGTTACAACTAGCCAATGGTAGCTACCTTGAGCTTGATAATTATTTTCTAGAAAGAGATTAGTGAAATATCTTTCATCCCATCAAAACGAGAAGCAAAAAGAGCATCTACGGATTAATATATAGATGAAAATAGGACCAAGACCTGTTTCTCCAGCTCCCTAGCCCTGGCTTCTGCTTCCTCACGCTTTTCTTCCGCCCGGCGAAGCTGTATTCAAGAACAAATGTTATGCATAATCAACAAGAGCTCATCATTTACTTTCAGCCTCCAAACCCGATGACAGAAAACTAACCTTGTCCAATATAATCTCATTCTCCTCTTGTAGCATATCCAGCTGCAATTAACATTGAGTCATCCTCAAGTCAAAAGTTTCTGACCCATAAAAATAGCCATTTAAAAAGCAAATCCCAATCTGGATGATTGCTGTAAATCGACCAGACATCTCTCAGAATTCATAAGGAAGCATCACATACTTCGTCACGAAGAGCCCTGCTGATCTCCCTTCTCCTTAGAATTCACTGATGGCACTTCAACCGAAAATCTGAAACCACGAAACAGTGGAATCGGTTACAATAAGCAGCAGGGGAAAACATAACCACGTTAAGAAAGGAGTCATTGACTTCTCATTTCATGTCAATCTCTAGCACGCCTGCTGATTAGTGGAACATCATTGGCTTATCAACTCCAAAAATTGGAGAAAAAAAATGGTCTTGACGAATTCAGCTAAGCAACATGCTCTCTCGAGTAAAAGATTCAAACACAATAGCTAAGCAAATAGCGTTTTCACCTTTTATCTCTGTTCTTAGGAGGATCAATTGGAGGGATAGCAACCGGAGTTTTGAGCGACACCCTACTCGGCGGCATGAGATTAGGAGTCGGAGTCGTGGATCTAACAGACATCGACGGCCTTCCAGTGGAGGCTGAACGCACCGAAGGCACTTGCTCCATGAAGTTCCTGCCTAACTAATCAAAGCACAAAAAGAAACTCCAAATCAGCCCTAGAGAATCAAGTTCATCACTGATACGCCAAAACCCAGAAAGCACAGCTCATCTAGCAATCAAATGAAGCTAAAACGCGAGTAATTAGCTCTTATGGATGGGAGATTTACGGCAGGCGACGGCGATCTGTTCCGCTGAGCGAAAGAAACCGCCGACAAATTACTGGCTCCGTTGATGTTGTTGCTGCCGGTGGAGGAGTGAGCAGAAGGAGCATGAAGTCCTGGCTTCAGAGGAGCTGCAAATCTAAAACCTAGATCTTCGTCCTCTTCCTCATCCTCGTCCTCCTCGTTGTCCTTGTTCTGCAAGGCCATGACCTGAGCTAACCGCTGCGCCGCCGCTTTGGCAGCCACGTTCTGAGTCCGTTTGACGGTGGAGAAACCTCCGC